CAGCATGAGCGGGCAGGGCAGGAAGAAGGAGCACACGGATGAGTAGACCACGTAGTCGCGGTTCTCCAGGCGGCACACGGCGGGATGGCGGCCCCGTGCGTCGTTGAGGCCGCACAGCACAGGCGCCGCCACAGCCGCCGACAGCACCCACGTGGCACCGATGAGCAGCAGCTGGCGGCCCCCGTGGCTCTGGCGGTTGTAGTGCAGGGGCACCGCCACGGCCACGAACCTGCGGGGAGCACGGTGAAGGCGGGCAGATAGGGAGGCGGGGGATAGGCCAGTGGATGGCGGCCTACCTGTCCACGCTGATGGCGCACAGGTTGAAGATGGAGGCAGTGCACAGCATGACGTCCATGGCCATGAGCGCGTCGCAGAGGCCGGGACTCAGCAACCACACGCCACCCTGGACCTGGGCCGCAGGTGGGGGCCCCCTCAGAGACAATAGATCAAGACCGCTGACGTCCCCCCAGCCACGCTGCCTGAGCTGTCTTTCTGAACCCCACTGTCCTGGGGGAGCAGAACAGGGCGAACATCCAGGGGTGAGGGGAAGGGCAGACAGCCAGAGGCACACTACCCCCCACCAGATGGGCACCAAGAGGACTACCCTTCCTTTCTGTCAGAACTGAGAAAGGCCTTGGGGGCAGGAGGATCCTGGGGGCGTAGCCACCTGAGGACTGTCGTCTCTCATTGTGTGGGGCTCAGGGTACTGTGAGGCCCTTCCCTGTGCAGGTGGGGACCCTCCACCTGGAGCGGGAGCCCAGCACCCCTTCTCCCCTCAGCAGACAGCTCAGAGTCGCCTGTCTACTGAAACTCTGTCACTGCTCTGGGACTCTGGAGAAGTCATTTCACTTCTGTCCCCCCATCCGTAAAATAGGGGTGATGAATGCACCCACGTGTTCATCCTGAGGACAAATGACTTACGAGATATAAAGTCAGCCGTGTGGCACCTAGCACTCCCACCAAGGGCAAAGGAGCAGACAGCCACCCCCCTTCTAAATCCCCTCCTGCTGATTTGGGACGATTAGGAGCTTAAGAGCCGTCACTGTGACGTCTGTCTGTAGGGAGTGGCAGGTCATGCGTGTCCTTGTCCTGCTAGCCTCTGCCCCAGCCCTGCCCAGACTCACCGTGGCAACCGTAGGAAAAAGCTAGCCTCCCCTCCCCCACAGCCCAGGACACTGTGTCCCCAACTCAGCCCTAAGCAGCTTTTCTCTGCCCTGACTGCAGCACACAGGACTGGCGCCACGCAGAGCCGTCCAGGGGCCCAGCCTGACCTGGGGGTGGAGGCTCCTGGGCCCCACACCTGCCCCTCTCCTCAGTCCTGCTGTCAGGCCCAGGTGTCCCCTCCTTCCACCTGTACTCGCTCACTGCCCTGCAGCCGCCGGCAGCTGAGCGTCCTTTCCTCTGTGGGACGAGTCTGCGTGAGTGAGGGTCTCCTCCTGTGAGGCTTGCTGGTGTGCGTGTGTTTGGTCGTGCTTGGCTGTGACCTAGTGCAGTGATGTGTGTGTCTTTGTGCCCCAGGGGAGCCGGGTTGGGGCTGAGCCTGAATCTGCTCGTCTGTCCAGCTGGCTCCCCTGAGGGAGTGGAGCCCAGCTGAGGAGGTTGGGTGGATGGCTGGACTGTCAAAGTCATCTGTTTCTGGGGTCTCTGGCTTGAAGGACAGAAGCATCTCTTGCGTAGTGGACACCAAGACAGGGAGGGAGAAGAGGGGTCAGAAGAGGGAGGCGGACAGACAGCAAAGCAGACAGACGGCAGCGAGATGGGAGAGGGGAGCGGGCTTCGGAGAGAACGGAGGCTCCGGTTGTCCTGAGACCAGGCGCAGTGCCCAGCTCAAGGTTCCCGAGAGGCCAAGCGTCAGGGTCGCGCCGGGTCCTCGGTGTGGACTGGGACAGGGCACAGGGAGCAGGTGAGGGGTGGCGTGCGGTCGTGGCGCGGGCTCACCTCGGAGTAGACGAAGAGGGGCAGCACGAGCAGGGCGAGTAGGAGGTCGGCGGCCGCCAGGCTCACGATGAAGTAGTTGGTGGGCGTCTGCAGGGCGCGCTCGGCCGCCACGCTCACGCACACGAGCGTGTTCCCCGCCAGCACC